TTATACAATTAGTTTGACATCCCTTCATGTGTCAACATGTTATTCAAATTAATGTTCATGATTTTGATATATTAATGTACATATAGCAGTTTTGAAACAATATAATCCTTGTTTGATGTCCATTATTTTATGAGTTTTGCTATACAGACATGGTCGGTGACCGATTCAAAAACAGGGGCTTGATGTGGCTTCCATTCGGGCGTTGATTTGGATGACCCACAATTCAAATTTGAATATGCAGTAAAAAATGAGTGAGGAAAAATAAATTTTGAAAAAACGAGAATCAACGGGGTCATAGTAAAAAAACTACTTTCTTCGTATGGTGCATATATGTATGTGTTTTTGTAACAGTCAATTTGAATGTAAATATATGTCTTCTAGAGTCTGGACTCGCTAAGAATTTAAACTGCAACTGCTGGGTCAATCAGAAATTCGAAAACAGGATTCAGTCAAATTGAATTTTTTAAAAGATANTTATACAATTAGTTTGACATCCCTTGATGTGTCAACATGTTATTCAAATTAATGTTCATGATTTTGATATATTAATGTACATATAACAGTTTTGAAACAATATAATCCTTGTTTGATATCCATTATTTTATGAGTTTTGCTATACAGACATGGTCGGTGACGGACTCAAAAACAGGGGCTTGATGTGGCTTCCATTCGGGCGTTGATTTGGATGGCCCACAATTCAAATCAAGGGCCGAGGTGTCGCCCTTGATTTGAATATGCGGTAAAAAATGAGTGAGGAAAAATAAATTTTGAAATAACGAGAATCAACGGGGTCATAGTAAAAAAATTACCTTCTTCATATGGTGCATATATTGTATGTATTTTTGTAACAGTCAATTTGAATGTAAATATATGTCTTCTAGAGTCTGGACTCGCTAAGAATTTAAACTGTAACTGCTGGGTCAATCAAACATTCGAAAAATTTAAACAACTAGTTGGGTACCCAACTAGTTGGATTCAGTCAAATTGAATTTTTTAAAAGATAAAGCAATCTTCCTTTTGAATATTTAAACAACCATGAAAGACATCCCCAGTTATAACCAGAACTAGTTGGGTATACAAAAAGCTACAAGTTGAAACAGCATTAATAACAAATTAATATATACCTAAAACTAGGGTCATTGAAGAAGTTATTTCTACACATCCCATTAATTTTTTGCTGGCAGAAGTCAATTAATTTAGTTGACCTGATCAATTCCCCGAAAATTTACAACATGTGTACATGACTATGTGCCAAGTAGAGAAGTGGTAAAGAATGTTCCGATTGTCCCTGTCAATGCAAGTCGAGAGAGAATAATATGAAATGATGAGCATGTAAGAAAAGCAGAGTCGAGAGTTATCAATTGGTCCCCTTGACATAAAAAATCTTTAAAACACTATTGTAAAAAGATTTTTTGTCATGTCTCTGCTTACTTGTATATTACATACATACTCAAACACAAATCATTAGGCACTAATATTATCCGACCAAGGAAAAAGGCCGACAAACATTAACACCCTGATGGTAAGTCAAGCATCGGTACAAAGTAAATGAGATTGTGTTAGGAGAGACAAACAAGAAGAGTTTTGACTAGTTCATAAAATGTGTACCTTTATTTTACCCGTGCATGAATATTTATAGAGAAATCCACGTTGAACAATGTTTAGGCATGCAACCTTAGTACACGTTGTGTTCTCATTGATTCACGTGACTCAATACTGAGTTACGGTAAGTTTCCTTCCGTGATTTTATTTCCTTGTACAACTGGGATTGCTCGTAGATATTGATTCATAAGAATTAAGATTATCCTTGAACCTCAAATATTCACGTATTAATTTTTAGGTATTGACAATGTAATTTGCTTATTTAATACTTCCTGCCTAGAGTGCATCCAAGCCAAGGTTCGAAAATAATGGCAACCTTCGTTTGTCAATTATTTGATTGCTTTGTACCCCTATTGTTTTGAATTCATGAGTTTGTTCTGTTGAAAATCCTCGGCAGTTAGTCCTTTTAGTAGGCTACTTTCAGTGAAAGTGGACGTGATTGGTGGGAGTGTAGTTGAGCTTTTACAGCGTAATGGACTTTCTTTGTGAGTCTGTGGAGTATTGGGCCCTTTTAAGCCTCCTGAATATTTTCCACTACTTTCTGGATAGAGGAAATTACACCCTGGCCTG